ACAAGCTATGCCAGCAGGAACATGACAGGGATATTCATGGGCCATCAGAGCTGCCCCAGGTAACTTGAGGTTGATGGCTACGCCTGCCTCAAAGATGTGCTTTTAAACCTGCCCCAGGCAGATTCCTCCTTCCAGCCAGGGCCCTGAGCACGTCATGGAATCACCCGCAGGCTGGGCCAAGGCATCAGGGACGTAAGGGAGGGGCTGCCATCCGGGATGCATCTCTGAGAGTGCTGCTGGGGCCTGGGGAAGGGACATCTGAGTCCCCATAAAGCATGTCCCCAAGACCCTACGAGAGCAGCTGCAGCTGATACAGACAGCAACAGCCAGAAAAGGGGCTTGGTGCAGAGCCTTGAAGACGACTTAAGATAATCCATGTCCTCGGGACAAACAGTGTTTGGGTAACAGTCTCAATGCCTGAGACCATGTAAGCGGGCTTTGGGAAGTGGGCCAAAGGGACATGCAGGTATTTCCAAACTCGGTATATTTCAGTTTACAGTAAGACAGTATGCCCGGTTACCCTGGCAGCAGTCTCCCACATCTCGCCTTTATCTCTTAATTGCATAGTTTTCTCTCATGCTTGATTTAATCTCATGTTTTGTGCAGTAACATGTTGTATAGGCTTGTAGCCTAGAAGCAATAGGTTATACCACACAGACTAGGTGTGTAGTAGGCTAGACCAAATACGCAAACAGTGAAATTCTTCATTGGGCGACTACAGGTAATCATTTCCTTCTTTAATTTTTCTCGATTTTCCCAGTTTCCAATGTGTTTCGCTTGGGCTTTGTGTCATTTTCTTTGAGAAGGTGTTGGATCTCAAGGCCCTAACTCCCAGGTAGCTCCTTGACCCCTGTACAAATGTGCTTCCCTTGTCCCTAGCAACCTCCCATGAGGCATAGATGAGAGGATGTGGCAACTAAGCCCCCAAAGCCCTGTTACACCTGATTGCTCACTCTGATTGCTCACAAAACAAAAACGAATTTTTCTATGGTAACCTACAGTCTCCTCCGTTAGACACAAGGGCCACTGGAAACTTTTAAATGGCAGCTTCATGCCATCCTGCTCTTCATATCTAGGACTTGAGAAAAAAACATCTGGAGCCTTGGCCGGTGTGGTTCAGTGGTTACAGCATCAGCCCTCAGACTGAAGGGTCACGGGTTCGAATCCCGGTCAAGGACCCGTAGTACCTCAGTTGCAGGTTTTGGGGCCTGTCTGGGAAGCAACCAATCTATGTGTGTCTCTCACATCAATGTTTCTCTCTCTCTCCCACTCCTCTCTCCCTTCCACTCGCTCTAAAAATCAACGGGAAAAAAATATCCTCGGGTGAGAATTTTTAAAAAAAGAAACAACACATCTGGAAAGGGCACATCACACTGTTATGACTGACACAGTAGCTCACACCAACCACGGGTATCTGGGTGGTGAGATAAAAAATGATTATTACCCTTTTTCTCTGCCCTCTTGTTATAATATAAATTTTAAAGCAATTACATATATCAGTTATACAGCCATGCAAAAAATTAGTTTTCTGTTTGAGGAAAGAAAAAAAAAGTAAAATGTCGTTGCCTCTCCATGCCCTGGGGAGAAAATTCAGTCTCTTTACACAGCTCACAAGGCCTCACGTAATCTTGTCCCTGACTAGTGACATTTAAAGTATTTGGTTGAATTGAAAGAGACTGTTGTTTTTCTTAGGCAAAAATGGTCAGTTATTGGCAGTTTTATATGGTTGAACCCACCCAAGGCCCTCATCCTCAGCTATGTGCTACTGTGCCCTTCGCCTGCAAAACCCAGCCCCTGTCCACCCCGGGGTCCCCTCCCTCCACCCCTTCCCCTCCCTAAAGGCTACTCTTCCTACAAGTCTTGGGTCTCCCTGTCATTTCATCCAGGTCACCTTGGATACTGGACTAGGGACCTCCCGGGGGCTTCCCAAACATCCCAACCTCATTCAGTCATTTTTTCACTCACTCAACAAACAATTACGAAGCCCCAGCTGCATGCCTGCCGAAATGCAGGAAGCAGGGACACGGTAAAAAGACAAAGTCAGTGACACACACACACACCCCGCCCCGCTCACACTACACTATAATCTCACCTGTCCAGGCTCTTATTTCTAATCTCCTGCACTAACCTGTGAACCCTCTGAGGTCAAACTCCACGTCTTGTGCACCATTAAAGAGCCACAGCTCCGTGTACCTGTCACATCGCAATCACTGGGTGTTGAGTGAGAAAAAATTAATGCCTCAATTTCATCCAAGTGGTACATAACTTATTTCTCTCCTGTTCCAGTTGTTGTTGTTTTTAAGGTGATTAGTCTCGAAATTTATCTTTGACCAAAGGAAGCAGCTGATAAAAGAAGCCCTCCTTTGTTCTGGATTTCCTGGCGGGCCGCGCAAGTCCTGTTTGCTCTGACCGCGTCTGGAGTGCTTGCTGGGTGAGGTCAGGGAAGGGAAGGAGGACACCGCCTGCCTGTTGCTGGACC